AATCAGCAGGCCACACAGCAGCAGCAGCACAACAATGTGAGAACCAGAAAATTACAGCCTTCATTGGTCAGGCACTGACTGTGGCAAGCCTACGCTCAACATAGTTTTAGTTCAATCTGTTAAAGGGAAAGTTTATTCAAAGTGGAACAGAGCAGAAAAATACAGATCTTCAACGCTTGTGATTGCAGGCCCACCCATATAAAACAAAAACTAAACATGCAGTTTGCTATCATCTTTTAATTAGCCGGTATTATTAACTGACTGACTGACTTTTGCCTCTATGTTAGTCTATATAAATTAGCGCTGTTTTTAAGCATTGCTGTGTGTATGTGTGTGTGTGATGTCAGCTGATGTTGTCAGCCAACATCAGCTGAGTCATCACTTCTATACTTCTATACAACTGACGAATCTCATATAGGCTACGATATTAAGCTGCTTAGCCCTGCCTGGAGACACTGTGCATCTGCAAGTCTCTTTGCAACCCACCCCCAGCTCAGCTCCTTTAACCTTATAACAGTGTTGTATCTGCTGTCATGAATGCCTGCTCTGTACTGCTTGGGTCTTGCTGCAGCATCTCCCTACTCCAGCTTTCTATAGAACTATACTGGCGATATAAATTACTGCTGATACAAATAATCTTTTTAATTAAAGTTGTCCTGACTAAACTACATTAACCATCATGTTAGACCAGATATGTTTCTTAATAGGCAAAATGTACTGAAATAAGGGTCTGCCACTTTTGCAAAAAAACAAAAAGAAAACCTTCATAACAAAAAAGGCAATTGCCTAACATTGTGTTTCTTTTTATTTTGCCTTTCCACTCATATTCTCATAATTCTTCACTTATATTTTTGTGAAATTGAAGCAAAAGCACTAACAAGCAATTTGTTGCTTCACAACCCACCCCTTGAGCCCGAGTACCTTTCCAGCTCTCCACTCTCACTGTAGTGAAATGTGATTAGCTCAATTTACACATATAGCCAACTGCTGGATAACTGCTGGAAAAGTACCAGCATCTGAACTGAGAGAAATGAATTTTTGTATTCTGACAGATGACTTTCCTGGGTGCTATGAGCTCAGTTCCCAAATTTTAGTGTAACACCAGATGCCACCCACCAACTGAGGATACATCCTGCCTTTTTTTCCCTGCAGACAATGAGTCTGAGCTTACAGCTAATTAGTGTTTGTGGATGGTATTCCCTGGGAACATGTAATCCTACTCTCACTTGTTCAATGTGCACATTGATAGCAGCAGCATTTTCTTTTCCAGCTGCATCTTCTTTTGGCTTCTGTACATTAAGCTGGAAACATTATCCTCTTACGTTAAAAAATGTAGTGGTCTGCCTTCCTAAGAATTGAACTTTTTCATAAAATGCCAAAAAGTACAATTGCAATATAGAGCCAAAAGATGGCGCCTACTTTCTTTGTGTTGTCTTGAGCTAAAGTGGAAAGCTGCACACGGACACTTATTATTTTTAGATTCTTATTATGGTCTGAGTGTAGACCAATCTTTGAACTAAAAAGCTAACCTAGAGCCCATGCTTGGTAAACCAACCACATGCTTCAAATTTTCTTTACCAACACATTAGAGACTGTGCACACTGATTATCTAAAAGCTAATCCACCACCTATTGGCTGCCAATAATCCTTCGTCTGACTATACTCACTGACTTGATGTTTTTTGGCTGTTGTAAAAAAAAAAAAAATTGTCCTAAATAGGACAAGCTAAAAAATATTCTTTCTTGCATCTCTGCAAATATATTGCCAACTGGCCATTTTGGCCAGCTGGAAATGAAACATTTATAAAACATGCACTGATACATGGGGGAAAATATATGTAACCACTGAATATTGGTGAAATATTGATAGAAATAATATGAAATAAGATGGCATTTTTAAATGTGAATGGTATATTTAAATAGTATAAAAGATGGACGTAGCTTTGGGGTCTGAAAAACCAAGCAATGAAATGCCTTAAATCTGCACCCATGGGTGATACCCATGACTTGCAGGCTTATATAAGACTGTAAACACCTTCCTGAGCCCATGAGTTTATGGGCTCAGTCTTACATTTCAGGTTATACTCTGTGACATGTTAAAACGACTGGCGTTTCTAATGGTGGACTATGCAAGGTATGCTCATTGGCTGATGGCTTGTGACTGATAAATTACTAGGTAAGTTCTTTGTAAGACTTTTGTTTCCACTGTAACAAAATTGCAGATAGGTCAGTGGCAGTCAGTAAGGCAAACATCAGCCAATACTGAAGAATACTGAAGCGACTCTGATAAATCTTTACATTCATGAATGTGGAACCAGCCCTCACTTTAGATTTGGGAGGCAGACCTTCTAGATTCGGCTTACGACTTACCTTTTTGATAAAGATTACAGAGTAGGGGTGGATCAGGGGACCCTGAATCCTCCCTCAGTTATACTGCAATAGGCCGAGGCTGCTGGGGGCTTCCCATAATGCACTGAACTGAGCATTTCTTATTCACTCACAATTTTTCCCTCTCCATGTATTTATACATCACTTTGCACTTAATCATAAGTAATTATTTATCTCTGGCTTTCTTCCACATTGTGCCCTCCCCTCAACCCCAACCAGTCACCACACAAGACTGCCCCTCAATCAGACTGGTTCTGCTGGAGGTGTCTTCCTGTTAAAAGGGAGTTTTTCCTTCCCACTGTCACCAAGTACTTGCTTATAGTTGGTGGTTTCATTGTAAAACACCTAGAAGAATGCGTTGTTGTGATTTAGTGCCACATAAATACAACTGAACTGAATTAAATAGTTTTATGTAAGTGTTTATTCATTGTTGATTTTCTTAGGGAAACTATAGCATACAACATTTTTTTAAAGTATGTGTTGTATATTGTCCACGTGCAAGAACTTGTGCACTGTGTTCACATGGGTCAGGTTGCTTCATTAACATCTTTTCTCTTTGAAAGTCAAAGAGTTCCTTCTTAGACTCACCTATCATGCATCAATTCACAGTCCTGCAGAAATCACCAGAGAGATGGAGAGGACAATTTCAAAAGCGTGACTGTCATTTATTTTCAGCATCTTTTTCACTGTCTCTATTCAGCCACCCTTGCTATCACTCTATCCAACTGTATAAGCCACAGTTGAATCCAACATCTCAAAGCTGAATATAATTATAGGAATATTTGGGGGCTCATTAGTAACCCTTCTACGTCAGCATTAACGTTAGTGAAAAGGTGCTGTCCCAGGCACTTGAAGAAACTCACTTTGGGCAACAACCTTCTGTTTATTCATTAACTTTACTGTAGCAAATCCTTAAAAGCCTCCAATCTTCACTGTGTTTTCATCACAAAATAAACCCAGGAGAGTGATCAACAGGATTTTTCCATACAGTTTGTGAACCCCAGAAAGGCTTCTCTGTGAGAGTGCTAACAGTGTATCTTCAGGGATACACATAGTTTGTGACAGAAATTGTTGGAAATGTAAAAGAAAAAAAAATCAATCTGCAACAGGCTAAATTGTCAGACTTGCACTCTGCCAAAAAAACAGATTCTCCAGTTCAGGCATCTAGAGCTACACTCTGTCACTGACAACTCTGTCAAGTCAAATTGTTTCCTCACTTTGTTTGTTTTCACTGAATTACACAAGATGGGAATAACATGAACCCTGTGCCTCGGGTATTACAACCATCACCGCCACGAGAGAGAGCACTGTGTGTCAGTTATTTACAGACAGTGGGCTTTAACTCAAGTCAGGACACTGTCTAGCTGTCTGCTCCTTTTTGATGTTTTACTGACACTGCAGCTCACTCCAACAATCCAGGCAATTGGTGCATGCTGTTCGGCTCCTCTGTGTCAGGCGACAGCACCTTCTTTTAAACTACGACTTAATTTCCTTCCATAAGGGTACCTTTCTGCCCTCTTGAGCACATACTGCAAGGTAATAAGGCGACATATAAACATCCCATCAACAGGATGCACAACAACACAATATTCCCATGAGAAATGTCCCATATCAGAGCAAAGAGAATATATGTGGGTTTACAGTTCAGGTTACCTTTCTGGTATGTGGAGCAGAGGTTTTCAAACGACAGGCTTTCTGTCACATGTGTGATTTGATCAGACTTGTCCATCTCATGCTATGGAAAAACACTAGGAAAGGATGTAAGTGGGATTTTTCTTTTTTTTCTTTTTTTTT